GGGGGGAATCCCGGTTACCTCCCACTCCCCACCCTCCCATCACGAGTCCTCTTTAAAAATACTGCACCGCAGAGGTGTCCAACCTTGGCTAATTGAATACTTGTGGACTTCAACTCCCGTGGCTGTGTGGGGAACTCCGGCCGTTCAAGTCCACAGGCCTTAAAGTGGCCCCGGTTGGGCTTTCGGACTTCAGTTCCTGGGGCTGCCAGGGGCTCCTGCTTATTCACCCCCCTCTTGTCCCCTTTCGTGTCCCCTCGTTGTTGCCAAGACTTGGGGCTGCCTCCCCTTTCTCTGAGACAGCCACCCCCCCAAGAGGGGGCCGGGCTGGCTCCATCTCTTCCCCAGCGAGGAAGACCCCTTTTGTTCGCTGCTAAGATGACTTACTGTCAGAATCGGCTGCCGTTGAGTCTTTTCTATGTGCCTTAATTACGTCATTATTTTATCCGTACTTTACAGTTAGCCATTTTGAGCACTAATTAGTGGGAATGCTGGATTTCAATGTAATATGCGAGAGTCCCAGAAAATGAGTGGCTGGGCGGCCTCCCTCTTGCGAGACCCTTTGGGGGAGGGTCTCCCCAGAGCATCCCTCCATCTGCTCCCCCTCCCTGCTCTCAGCCGACACCCCCCCCCAGCCTGGTCCAGCAGACGGAGCCATGACTCTGGCCCTCTGCTCTTCTCCACCTGCCCCCCCCCCAGCCTCGGAAGAGCCGGGGGGTCAAGGGAGCGGCCAGGTGGGCTGCAGAGCCAAGGAGAGGAAGGAGCCCGTGGATCTTGGAGGAAGATTTAAATCGGGGGTCCCCAAACTTGGCAACTTTAAGACTGGTGGACTTCAACTCCCATCTATGCTGGCTGGGGAATTCTGGGAGTTGAAGTCCACCAGTCTTAAAAGTTGCCAAGTTTGGGGGCCCCTGATTTAAAGCAACCGGGGGAAATAGTGGATCCTAAAAGGTCTGATTAGTATTTTTAAAAAACCCTGATGAATTGATGAACAAGGTCTAGTCTTTTGGCCTGAGACTCCGCATCACTTGCCGGGGTCTGGAATTTGGAAAAGGGAGCAGGGCTGCGAGTGTGAGGTGGGAACCTTTGGGCTTCTCTCTCTTGTCCCTCCTCCTCTCCACGCGTTCTTTTATTTTACTGCATTTGGATCCCATCTCACACCCTCCCCAAGAGAGACGGATCCTCCAGCCTCATTCTTGGCAAGGGCAGGAAAAAGTCCCTGCTGTTTTTGGCATGTTTTGGGGAAGTGGTTGACCAACGTCTCCTCCTTCCCGGGAGAGAAAAGAAAAACCTGGTCCCAGAGTCGCCCGGCTGCTTTGGGTATCCGCGGCAAGACTGGCACTTGCAGCCCCCTGGCTTTGCTCCAGCGCTCCTAACCACTATGCCAGCTGGCCCTGAAAGGCGAAAACTTGGCGTTTCGCCTCGGTGTTTGTATTCCAAGTGTAGGGAGCCAAGTCAGAAGCTTCTCGTGGGGGGAGCGGGGGGGGGGGGGCAGGAAGGGCGTCTCTGCCTCCTTTAACCCAAGAAGTGAGGGACCCCCCAAGCACGTTGGCTAAACTGGAGGCTCTCCCGAATGACGAAGGAGCTCAGGCGGAGGCGCTTGGTCTCTTTTCTGCAAGGTCTCTGGCTTAGGCCAAAACCTTTTGGGCAGGGAGGTCACCCAGGTTTGTACCCCGTGGCATCCTCTTGCTGGTCCGGAGATGCCGTGAGACTGGTGGGTGGTAGGAACAGCCCTACCCTACAACCTTTGGTGACCCACAAGGGCTCTGGGGCGTCTGGAACAGGGGGGGTCTGGACGAGATGAACTCCCCTCTGGCGGTACCTGCCCCTCCCCCACTGTCTCCTTGACCTTAGCGAGCAACTGAACCTCCCTTTCCTTGAGACCATTCTCTGCCCCAGTCCCCCCCCCCCGTGTGTTATAAACACATTCCCCCAGTCCATCCAGTGTGCTGTATCAATCTTGTTTAATAGACTGGAAAGCTTAATGCGCGATGGCGGGTCACGGGGAGCATTGGGGGTGATAGATTACGCCTTCTCGGAGTCGAGCACCGTTGATGTATAATGAAATATTTATGATTTATTCCAGCTAATAAACTGGAATGAAGTGTGTGATCTATGCGAGCAGATGGGGAGCTTTCGGTGCAGTTCTCGTGTGGGGAGGTTGCTGTCCATAACACATCACCAACCTCAGCTCTACCTTTCGCCCGACTGCGGTGGGGACAGCCCTTCCCCCCACCCCTCATTAATCTCCTTCCCTCTAATTGTTTACCATCCTTCCCCACCCCCTAACTTCGCCCCTCCGGCGCCTCTTTTCCACCAGTCAAAATCTCCCTTTGGAGCGAGAGCCATTTATCCGGCAGCCTTCGCTCGGTGGGGTTTGGGGAACTTGGCCAGCGGATGGCGGGGATAATTTCCTGGGTCAGATTTGGCAGGAAAAAGATCCGAAAAATATTTCCTCCTGGAGCTCCAAGGAGACGGAGCGATGCCCTCTTCCGTGCCCGTTGTTGGTCACCCAGGAAAGGTTGGATTAAAGGGGTCCATGTGCTCCTTGGCTCCCACTTGATGCCACGGAGGTTTTTAAGGCTGTGTCCTGCACCCATTAAGTAGCACCCTTGGCCAGCTTCACCAGCTGCTCCCTGCCAGCTCTTTGTCTTTCCCCAATCCTTGCCCATCCCTCCAATGGTGCCCCAAGAGTTGCTGCAGCTATGGCTTGCTTCAGAGAGGAGCTTCCATGCCAGAACCTTCCTCTCTGGGGGTGAGGGGAATGTCCCGCCAGGGAAAACGCCCTTGTCCAAGGGAGGAGAGGTCCTGGTGCTTGAAGGCCACCGTTGGTCCTTCAAACCGGGGAGAGGGTCCAGCCTCCATCTCAGCAGGAGCCCACCAAGGATGGTGCTTGGGAGGGGAGAGCGATTTTGTGGCTGGTGGAGGGGTGGGGGAAGCGGCTCACTGCCCTGGCCTCCTCGTGGCCTTCTCGGCCCCTCAAGCGATGGGCACCCCAATTCCCCTTTCCCTGAAGGGCAGCAGCTGTGTGGATTGCACTCCATCGTTCTGTGTGACCCGCCATACCTGCAGGGAAGTGCCTTAGCTGGGATTGAAGCCCCTCCCTCTGATTACACCCAAGCCCCCCCCCTCCCCCGGTCCAAAGAGCCAAGCGGGCTGGGCTGGAGGAGGACGGAAGTGTGCCCAAAGGAGGAGGGGGCAGCCGAGGCAGAGGCTGCCCTTTGAAGGGGGCACCGAAAGCCCTTCGGGGGGGGGGTGGGCGTAGTTGGCGTCAGTGCAGGATTGAGGCCAGCTGGGAGGGCCTCTCAGCTCTGGCACCCTGGTTCTGTTCCTGGGCCCCGTCCCCAGAAGCTGTGCCCATCCCCCCCCCCCCCGCTTCTCTCCTTTCCCCAGGGGACACCGCTGTGTTTCAGGAAGGCAGCTACTGGATCAGGGGACGCACCTCGGTGGACATCATCAAGAGTGGAGGTTACAAGATCAGCGCCCTGGAAGTGGAGCGCCACCTGCTGGCCCACCCCAGCATTGCAGGTGCTGTCACATTTTGAGGCTGATCAATGGACGGCTAATTATGTACGTGGCATTTTACCGAGAAGCTGCAAAATCTGTTTTTTCCTTTCTACCGGGCCCATTCTCCAAGGCAGAAGGGTGAAGTGATCTCTTTCAAATGCCACGAAGGAGCCACTTTAAAAGATTGTAAAATTAAACAAAGACTGGACAGATGCATAAAAGTGCCTGAATGAGTTAGGGCCAATGCCATCCGCCCCCCCCCCCCCCCCCCCCCCCCCCCCCCGGTTCCTAAGATTAGCTGAGTCAACTGATTGAATGACAGGGTCCGTCTTCACTCGCGAGTCCAGGGTGGCTGGTAGGTAAGAGGAACTCCCGTCCTTTTCCCAACGCACTTGTCCTCCCTTCTCTTTTCCCGCAGATGTTGCCGTGATCGGTGCCCCAGACCTTGTCTGGGGTCAGAAGGTCAGCGCAGTGGTAGAACTCCACAAGAGCCAGGAATTGTCTCTCCAGACCCTCAAGAAATGGGCCAGGTAAGTTGGTGCGCCAGAAGCAGAAGCCGGGGAGGGACGCCATCGTTCTTCCTGAGGCGGCACTGGAGGGAGGAGGGGGGGGACTTGTCTGCAGCCTCTTTGCTAATTGAGGGGCCCTCCTGTGCCCAGGGAGACCATGCCCTCTTACACCATCCCTTCTGAGCTGCTCCTGGTGGAGGAAATTCCCCGCAACCAGATGGGGAAGGTGGATAAGAAGCAGCTGCTCAAACAATTCTACAGCACCTTGTGAAAGCGCCTCTGCCTCTGCCCGATGGAACGCGGGTCTCTGTGGCCGAAGAGCCGGACTGGACGCCCTTCCCTTCAAAGCCGGACCCTGATCCTTGGGGGTTGGCTTGCCTTCAGCTCGTCACCCGGAAGACCGAACAGGGCCTGGGCTCATTAGCGGCAGGGGAGGCCTTGCTCCGCTGCTCCGCTGCTCCTGCGCTGGCCTACCAGGAACACGAGGTCTGCTGGCGGATGGGGAAGAGGTCCTGGCGTGGCCTGTGGCCCTGCGGGAGGTGGACAGAAGCCACGGCCTCCCTTGGCTCAGCCAGAGTGCAGGAAGGCCACGAACACCATCCCAGCACAGGAGCCTCCCCCCTCCTGATCCTCCCTTACCAAAGATGGGGAAACGTGGGCCCGACCCTTCCCTCCCCTCTGAGGAAGGAGGAATCCCCCCCCCCCAAGCGCACCTGCGGAGCCAAGGAATCCAATGCGGGATTGTGCGTGTCGGGGAGACAAGCCGCTCAAAACGGAAGTCACGTCCATTCAGGTCATCTCTCCCCCCGCCCCCCTTTTCCATGCTCCTGCGCAACTCTGGCTTTTTAAAAATCCACATTAAATTAACATTCTCATTTCTGTCCCTGAATGTATTTCTCGCTAAGCT